ATAATATTCAACAGGTAACTTGTTCTTATCGATTTTATTAAGAGATCGCGGAGTCTCATAACGATGTATGAGCAAAGATTTAAGTTTCTCAGTACCTGATGCATTGCAATAAAGAAGAATTGTTATACGATTTTTTGATTTTTTGGTACCGATGACAGGATTTAACACCAATATTCTCGATGGTTCTAACTACCAGTATAATGCTATAATACATGTCAGATGAAGAAATAAAAATATGGAAAATGAAAACTCAGATACAAATCAGTTTTATCGTAGTTGAAAATGTCATGCTTATCATATTCACAAAGTACTTTATGGAGTTTAATACGCTCTTGATCTAGTCTCTCTAATGGAACACTATTTCCCTCACCCGATTTTACATAAGATTGAATACGATATCTAGACTTATAACGATCAAACCATCTATTGGAACCACTAAATTTCTCAACTCCTAAAAGACTAGTAAAATGTTTTGCCTTTTGCTTAAGAAGATCGACAGTAATGGTAATATTGTCATGAATGGCGCGTGTAAACCATATTGTTAATACCTCTTCAACCTCAGGATATAATGATTTGCATTCTCTTTTTCTTTTTGATAAAATTTCATCATCATTAATGGCCAACCATCTGTCTCGTTTATTCCATATATCTGAAACCGTACTTTGTCTAATCCCATATTGATTTGCAACGTCAGTTTGATTTGGAGTAGGCTTTTGAGAAAGTAAAGTACATATTTCTTTCCTCTGTGCATTGGTTAATATAACTCGTTGTCCCTTACTATTTCCTTTTTTCTTGAGTTTTGCGTTAATATTAAGCTGTGACATTTTTGCGTTCAACATTCACACCAGAATCGATAAAATATAGAAAGATCAACCAATCGTAATGCTTAACGCCATTCCCAATTTAGTAACTGTTACACAAATATCGGTAGAGCGGGGTGAGATTTAATAGTAAATGGCAATGATGTATCAGTATAAAGGTTATAACGGGGTTTATTATAATTTATCAGTATAACGGGGAAAATTTTCTATCTAAATTTTGGGAGCGACGTTTTTCATCATTATATCGAGGTTATCGGTATAGCGGGTATCGGTACAACGAGGTTTAACTGTATATGGTAGCAGCTGCAGAACAATATCCCCATACATAAAAACATTGAAAACCAATCTATATTTAATTGGCTATACGTGTTAACAAATATCGGAATGCTTTCGCCATTTATTACAACCACCATAGAGAAATATCATTTATTTTGGTTGGTATATTTAATGTGCCTTGTGGTTTTTGTCCTTTCAAACTTGGTTTTTATCTTAAGAATAAGGGTTTCAAAAAAATTCCTCCTAATGGATCCATATTCATTGATGTCTTCAAAGTATTTCGGATCGCTTTGACAAGTCGTACACGTAGTTTAAATTCAGCAAAACCGTCAAATATGACTCCCATTTAATTAAGTCGGCGCCACGTAAAGTGGGATGATAATTTTGTGGATGATCTGAGAAAAGGATTGCAAGCCTGTAGTCTATTCATGTTTTATCCGATCTACTGGGCAGCGTGGAGTCGATCACATACCAATATGATTTCTCAGGGAGCGACGATGCGATCAGGGAATATGCCAAACGATTTAATGACTAATATCGTTCCATTGGCGGCGGTCTTATTTCCACTTTTGTGGATAAAATCTTATATCCAACAATGCGCAAATGTGGTGTAACACTTCTGCCGGCCACTAAAATATTCATTGGGTTTGTTTGTATGGCTTTGACAATGGTATACTGTGCTGTGCTTCAATAGTTTATATATAAACGGGGCCATGCTATCAACACACGCTTTATATCATTGATGATAAAATGGTTCCGAATGATATTAGTATTTGGTGGCAAGTGCCTGGCTATTTTCTGATTGCGTTCTCTGAAGATATTATTATTAATCATTTGATTTTCTTTTTGATTTCATCTTCTTTTTAATCAACTTTTGTTTGATATGTTACTTTAGTTTTCGTCTAAATAACTGCGTTTGAATATGCATACCATAAGGTAAAGTAAATATCATGTATTTGTCTGGGTTAGTTTTTAATTTGGTCTTATGTTATAAATCTTTTTTCATAATAGGCACCCAATTCGATGGAATCGATTGTTACCGCTTTGTTCTTTACAACTGATGATGTTGGTTCAGCCTTAGGGCTCCTCGTGGTGCCACTTTCGCACGATCCTTACACCTTCTACGCTTATATCATTATGTCAGCATTAATTATTGTCACAGGATCACTGCTGTTAATTCTGTTTCGCAAATATGATCTTGCGCCGTCTTCCTTGTCAGATGATTCGAACGTCAATCTTGAAAATACTGCAAGGATAAAAACGATTCTGAGTTTGAACTGATTTATTGAGTTTGATTTTTTGTTAGTTATTTATATTCTGATATAGATGTAAACAAAGCGAGGTATTATTAAATTCTCTTTACTTGATCAAACATAAAATATTTTTACTTGTTCACAATGAAATTCTGAATTGATGTGATTTACACATGTGGTTAGAAACCGCACGTTATACATAACGATAATAATAAATTGCGTGTACATTTCTTTTTTAAATTTCATTCTTTTAACGTGTCTGTATTCTTTTATAGAAAATCTGTATCCTTTTATAGAAAATCTGTATCCTTTTATACAGTTTGCCCACATTTATAAGGCATGAATTTTTGTCCCCAAGTTGTTGATTTTGCATATTTAAAATGATAAAGCAAACTTTTAGCAGAAACAAATTTGCCGCCCATTTGATCTTTATTCTAACATGAAAAAGTATTGAGGCATTTAGAAATGACACACTAACGCTTGCAGTAAACACGTATTGTACATGCATTAATAATTATCATTATTTAATAAGGATTTAATTGCATGTACTGTTCAAAAACAGGCTAATGTTGCCGTAGCAACATAAAAATCGCGTAATGCCGGAATTTACTTAGAGTAATGCACGTGTCTAACACTGATAAATATAAAAGAATATTGTCTCGTAATGCTTGAAACAGATCCCGCACAAATTTACTCGTAGCATCAATAATGCCACTTCAAAAATCCATATGAAATTCTTACCTTGTGATGTCAACATCAGCATTACCTTCCCAATTATGTTATCACAAAATTATTACCTCAAAGAATGTGATTATTAAACATTCGAATCATATGTTATTTCTTTGATCATAGAAAAATTTATATCAACATTCACGTGTCATTATAGTTAGACTTCGTTTTACCTTCATAATTAAATTTGATTCCTCGTTTCGAATCATAGCCATGCTTCTTTTTGTGAGAATTTTAAATCATTCATATTTTAACCTTTCGGATCCCGTGACACTTGATGTAGTCCTAAAAATTGTATTTAAAGATAGTTATCCGAAGGTATGAGAATCAAGCAATGGGCGGTTGAATAAAAGTAAATGTTAAATTTACTTTAAAACTTACCTAACTGCGCTTCGGCTCTTATTTCTTTCTAGCCATAATAAAATTGATAGCTTTTATTGCTTTTGTGCTTAACAAAATTTATGACTTTACCTCTTTTGCCTTAAAAAGTTGGTGTATATTCTTTTGATTAATTTGTTGGCCGCGTCAATGAGTCCCAACTCTTTGTTTTGTGTTGATAGTAAGCAGAAACTACCCATATTCCTTTTGGAATTCGTGAACATTTTTAATTTAATCCCGAATGCCCTTTTCAAACACTTTATTTACCCTCTCCTTGTAAATAATTCAATCCAAGCTACCTCATCATCATGTTGCTTTCTACTTTCTTTAAATCCAACATCTTCAGAAAGGCGTAACACTAAGTCGCGTCACTGCTAATGTAATTTTGCATGATGAAATTCAGCCAATCAGAAAGAATAGACATGATATTTCAGAAAATTGATGTTAAAAAAACCTAATTACAAAAGTTATTTAATAAAGTTTTGTTTAATTGTTATATATTTAAAAATAAAATTCTTTAACAGTTTAAAATATTAATTATTGGATGTCTTTAGAGGATAATTCTGTATTAATATAAAATAAAGTTATTTTTGCACAATTTGAAACACTTCATAATCATCAACCTTAAAAGAAATTCCTTCTTTATCAGAGCTTAACAGACCATGTTCATATGAATATTTTTGATAATAATTTTTAGTATTGTCTCCATCGAATAAGATCAAATCATTTCCGCCTCCAAAAATTGGCCCATAATTTTTATAACATCTTATATTATCACTGGCTTTTATACAATTGCTTACAAGTTCGCCAGATTCATTTGGATCAAATCGGAACAAAAAGCTATTTGGTCCAGGATAACGTTTGTTTTTTGAATTCCATTCCAATGGATTATATCCTCCAATTATTTTTCCCGACTCTTTAACCCGAATGGCAACGACTGTTG